TTAGAAGGGAAGGCAGCTAGTAAACATCTCAAACCGCCAACTCTCAAGCTACTCTTTCACCAACGAATAACAGGATTGACCGTAACACTATAACGCTCCCACGGTTAAATGAGATTCGAACCCTCAGGCTTCGAGTCAAGCGCCTCTAACCACTACGCCATGCCAGGCCCGATCCCCAATATCTAATATGGTTATCTCGTTCCATAATATCTTGATCAGAATGCCAAATAATTATCATGATTTTAAATAAGGAAAATTAAGTAATTTTTACAGAACAGTGATGATCTTTTTGAAACATGTACCGACACCGATTACCTACAAATACATTCATCTTCCTGTTCCCGATATATTTGTAAGTTCAAGTTGAACAACTCTACTCATTGAAAGCCTAGAACGAAGACAATAACGGAGGCCGGATACATTAAAGCGCCGTGTCTGAGGCTGAGGCAAAGCTAAGACGCTCAGTACTAATAATACAGTCCTGAAAATGCTAATAAATAACCCTCATTATCAATCCCCGTGGCCATGAGGGACAGCTGGCTCTTTTGTGTGGTCAACCTACAGGTAGATTATAACTCACCACCACTTATGATGGAGGAGGAGGTGTAACGTTGGAAACAATGTACAGAACATACAAAGGAAGGGAAACGCACGAGCTGACTTTCGTAATGATGTAATGTAGTTACGTACAAAGTCACTTATTGTATTGAAAGATCACCATCCAGTTTGTCGCCGGCGAGTTTCAGGAATATACAGGAGTAGTCCAAGCGTTGGCGGTACATGCTGTTGACTAGCTATCTTTTCTCTAGTCTATCAGTTTAGAACTAGGGACGGGCAGAGCAGATAGCCCTCGTTTAGCTTTGCGCGAAATTCTTATACAAACAAGACTAAAGTTAACGTGTCGGACCTGTGGAACTGAGGTCCTCCCAAAAGAAAACAAACAAACAAAAACAACAAAAGACAAACAAACTGTCCTCCGTACTTTGGGGCCATAAGTGCAGTAGAAGAGTAATGATCAAGCTCCACTTTTCGGTCTAACAGTAGCCCTAGAGTTGGCGGTGGGTGTTGTTGACTATTCACCTTCCTTCTAGTCCATAACTTCTAAATTAGGGATGGCTAGTGTGGTTTTGCGTGAAATCTAAGAAACAAACGAAAAATTACAACCCTAGAAACCGGGTTTCGATACTCGTGGTGGGCAGACCACAGATAGCCCATTGTGTAGCTTTGTGCTTAATTACAAACAAACAAACTAAGCTTTTTAAAATCAGTATGAAGTTTAAATAAAAAGTAATCCTTCATTCCAAGATGTATCTTAACAAGCATCAGTATTTAATAAATCAACAAATCCTGAAAACTTATTAGTTAATATTCGTCATAACATTGAGTTGTTTTCTGATGAATTTCGTACAACAATATGACTTTGTCGAAAAATTATTCATTATTTTAACAAACGTATTAAATTTTATTTTTTTTTCGTAGTCGCTTATAAATTCATCGCCAGTTATGATAGAGGGCGTGTAACCTTGGACACATTGCTCTGCGGGTTTCAAGTCCAAAGCGCCGAACACCAATAGGGCCTCAGCTGGTTTTTTCACTCGTAACCATCTAAAGATAGCTGTTTTCAGTAGGGGAGCTCATCAAATCCGAAAGTATTTACGTTTCACATTCGTGGCAAAGCTACTAAGGTTATTCGTCGCCGTTCCTAATTTTGAACTAGTGACCAGAGGGAAGGCAGCCAGTCAACACCACCCACGCTATATTATTGACTGTCATTGATTTAACACCCCTACTGCTTAAAGTTCGGGGAATATTTTGTGGTATCGCAGGATTCGAATCCAAAACTGTACCACAGGGTCAAGCCGACAGTGCCACACACCTGCAAAGATGTTATTTTAAATGCTGCTTACAGGAATTATTGGCATTAAAATCACACGACAGGTTAAAGAAAAAATATTTTGAGACACGAAATGAGAGTCGAGAGAAATTGTAAAATAACAGCTGTTCACTTTAATTGTTTATTTGATAAATAACGGCAATCTGAGCATAGTTATTCCTAATCTTGAACTGACAGACTTGAAGAAAGACAGCTAGTCAAACTTTAGGCTTTTATTAAAATCCAGTGAGCCGTCTTTCATAATTAACCTGGAAATATGGTAGAAACAGCCCCCAATTTTACCCATCATAGATAAAACTAAGTTTAAACTTTTAACACTAACTACTCGATGTAAATAGGATGAGTTTAATACCAACTATCATATGCTAGTTTGGAAGTCCAAAACTCTGAAGTCCTAACTAATCTTGATACATATTGTTAACTACCAACGGACGAGGGGGAGGCCCTGTGGTAAAGCTCCTCTGGATTTCGTTGAGTCCGTTCAGTGCCACGAACCCCCCCTCCCTCCTCCCCCCCACACACATACTTTAAATGGATTATATGTGGTAGGATGCTGTTGACTGGCTGTTTTCCCTCCGGTCAATAACTCAAATTGAGGTTAAAATAAATAAAATAATTATCGAACTTTAGTGTTGATAAAATAAATAGATAAATTAATGAAATACTTTTGTATTATAACATTCCTTTTCCTTGGCATGTCGGCTTGAATATCTTGTATTTTGAGACGGGTGACTGGCGTTATTTTGTTTAAATAATACGTATTCAAGTTAAGAATAACGGGTAAACACCTTTAAGTCTCTTGGGTCCTATGTGGCATCAAACGGTACACTCGACTCTGAAATAAGCCATAGAATCCAGTCGGGATGGAGAAATTGGAAAAATGCGTCGGGAGTGCTATGCGACAATAAGATCAGCGCAAGGGTGAAAGGAAAGGTCTATAAAACCGTTGTGAGACCTGCGATGATGTACGGAGCGGAAGCCTGGTCCATCAAAAAGGCTCAAGAGAAGAAATTAGAGGTAGCCGAGATGAAAATGTTGAGATGTATGTGTGGAGTGACGAGGCTTG